GTGACGCCGAAACCCTAAACCCTAAACCCTAAACCCTAAACCCTAAACCCTAAACCCTAAACCCTAAACCCTAAACCCTAAACCGTTTGTTATTATAGGAGGGTGAAGCCTGGAGATGGGTCATTCTCAGGCCTGAGCCATCCTAAGCCCCACACCCTGTACTCTAAAAGCAAGGGCTAGTTTCGGCTTCACTGCCTCAGGGCTGGCTCAAATCCCTAGACCCTCCATCTACCCTCTATCAGAGCCCAAATACCCATTATTTGGGACCATATACCCCCTAAGCCCCAAACCCTCAACCCTAAACTCCCTAAGCCCTAAACCCTAAACCCATTATTTGGGACCATATACCCCCTAAGCCCCAAACCCCGAACCCTAAACCGTACAAGGAGGTCCGGGTCTGCAGCTCGAGCTTTCACTTAGGGTTTAGGGCTTGGGGTTTGGGGTTTAGGGTTTAGGGCTTAGGGTTTAGGGCTTAGGGCTTAGGGCTTAGGGTTTAGGGCTTTGGGCTTAGGGCTTAGGGCTTCGGGTTTTGGGCTTGGGGCATTTTGGGTTTAGGGCTTTGGGATTAGGGCTTCGGGGAAAGGGCTTCGGGTTTAGAGCTTTGGGTTTAGGGTTTAGTGAAAAGGGTACAGCAGTCTTGAGACGCATCCGGTCTACTGAGTAGTTACTCCGGGCCTATTACGGCCTGGTAGGGTCTCCGGGGGACGAGTTTGGGGGTTCGGGGCTTAAGGACAAAAGGCGGCAGGGAGTCGAGGGGTCGGAGTAGCACCCCGTAACAGATCCTATTGTTTCAGAAAATATGGGGTACCGTATTTGGGGGTCCTTGTAATAAGGATCCTATTATCTAGGCTGCTAAATTAGGGTCCCCTATTTTCGGAACCACCCCATATTTAAGTATACTACAAAGACCCCCACCAAAACACCAATCTAGGTATTGAGGCCTTCCTACGTGCCCCTAAAGATTCACCGTATTTTGTTTAGCGCAGGGAGTTGCCGAAGACTCACCGGGTCAACCCGAACATTTCCTTCTAGAATGGTTTAGGGTTTAGGGTTTAGGGTTTAGGGTTTAGGGTTTAGGGTTTAGGGTTTAGGGTAGAAGGCCAGGTAGGGGCACATGTTTTTCAATGTTTTCAACAGCGAGCAGGGTTCGTATACCACCCCTTGTGCAACACTCGCACCCCAACGGGAGAAAACTGCGAGGCACCCCGCCGCAAAATAGTATGGCACAGCGTAGTAGGTGAGTGGAGTCTGGTAGAGTAGAGTACGGTAGAGGTGCGGTTTTAGGGTTTAGGGTTTAGGGTTTAGGGTTTCACATAGCCTATATAGCACGGCGTTCCCATCGTCCGACCGTAGCAGCTGATGTTCGGTAGTCGACTCGATGGCATTCCATCAGAAGGTTTCTGGGGGTTTAGGGTTTAGGGTTTAGGGTTTATTGTTTTTCCCTGAGCCTTGTACCACTCTTGTACCCTAGTCTTGAAATGGCCCACCGAAGATCTAGACAATCACTCAAATGCCGCATTGCCCAGCGATTTCGATGGAAGGTGCTTGCCGTGGGGAAGGAAAGCTCGGCTTCCGCTACGGGGCTGCTGGTGGCGATGCTGCAAGACGCCATCGGCTCGATGTACCTGGAGCCGGTGTAGGGTCTTTAAGTGTCGACTTAGGGTTTGGGAAGCAGGGCTTAGGATTCAGGGCTTGGGGTTTAGGGTTTGGGGTTCAGGGCTTGGGGTTTAGGGTTTAAAGGGTTTAGGCTTGGGGTTTAGGGTTCAGGGCTTGGGGTTTAGGGTTTGGGGGTCCATGCGCGCCTCAACTTTCTGCAATCCTCTTTCGCTGATTTGGTGGGCCGGGTCCCTCGGTCAGCTTGAGCCTTGTTGCTTCGAGCCAACGGGCTGAGGGTTCGAAGGAGCCGCCCGGTAGCATGTGACCAAGTGGTAGGCAAAGCTGTGGTTGTGGTCATAGTCAATGGCATGTCGCGGGTAGTAAGCTTGATGCCACCACATTCAGTGTTCAATACTGCCATTGTCTGGTACAGTGTCCGGTGTGGCAAGCTGGTCATGGCATCGTCGTTGCCATCAGTGTGCGGTTATGTGTTTAGCGTCGCGATCACGTGTGTGTGTGTGTGTGTATGTGTGTGTATGTGTGTGTGTGTGTGTGTCTGCGCATATACATATACATATACATACATACATACGTATATATATATATATATATATCTTTCTTTTTCTTCAATCTTTTTGTGCGGTATTTGCCTTGTATCATGCCTGTCGTGATTGCTTCCCCTCTCCGGTTCTTTTGGCACAAGCCTCCTCCCCCCAACAACCTGGAGTCTTTGGCTTCCTACCATCCTTCTATTCTAAGCGTCGTGAATCCCGGGGTTCTTCATGGTTGTAATATATGGGTCTAAGATTTTACCAATACTATTTTCGGGTTCCTTGTCATAAGCATAGTATAAAGGGTTCCACAACCTATTCTAATTATTGAGGCCCCTATATTAGTCGCTGCTGGTGACGCTCGTGGTTTGGATGTTGCTGCTTCTACGCCCATGGCTATGAATATTGGTGAAGCACATGTCACTACTGTTACTTGTCTCGCGGGTGCTGTTCGCTTGTGCTCGTTGTTGTCGGGGATGGGTTGCCCGTACTCGTGTCTGCGCGTTGTCAGTGTCATGGTTGGATCTCGACGACCTTCATGCTTCCCACTAAAACACAGGCCCTAACAGCCCGAGCCCAGAACTTACACGCCTTGAACCCAAGCCAACAACTCCTAAACTCACGCTCTTCATAACCCTGAACCCGACACCAGGTTCCTACGATGATCGCCATGGAACCTGCAAAAAGGACTCACACACTTAAAGGATCATGCGACTTAGTATCCAGCATTATAAAGAAGGCCACAATACTTCTATTCACTTATAACCCCAACTAAGGTGCTGGTTAGCCTTACTAAGTCCCATGATCCTCCAAGTAGGAACCCTTGGCAGGAACTCTCGACCCCAAAGATTCGGAGAAAGGAGCCCATACATTCTACCCTAAACCCTAAACCCTAAACTCTAAACCCTAAACCCTAAACCCTAAACCCTGGCTAGACTTGTCAGCTGGGCGGGTGGGAAAAAAACCCTGGCTAACCGTGCCGAAGGAGCAAGCCCCTGCGGACGACTCTTGCGTGGTGGCCGTCGAGGTTCTCGTAGATTTGCGGCCCATGCTGGAGAAGGAGGTCCGGGTCACGAGGGTTCGGAGGGTTTAGGAGGGTTTAGGGTTTAGGGTTTAGCGGTTAGGGTCTAGGGTTGAGGGTTCGGGGGTCGGAAAGGGGTATTGTAAGGGTTCTTGCGAGGGTTCGAGGTGTGCAGCAGAGGCTGCACCGGTAGCTTAATGGGCTCAGAAGTAGGATATCACAGTAACTGCAGTCGGAGAAGTGCTCACTGCACTCGAATGCTTTTGCACGTGCGCGTTGCACGGTCCGATGGCTCAGATTCGCCCTAAAGGCTTCTGCTAAAGACAGGGGCCCCTGTTGAACCTAGAGGCCCGCGGAGTTCCAATCATCACTGATATCATGAAGAAGCATACCTGCTGCACTAGCCCCAAAAGAGGTCAGTGATGAATGCAACTCCCTGTACAGCTGTCTGTCGATGTCTTCAACTGCTGTACGACCTTGTTTCTTGGCCTTCTTCGCACTCGTAAACGCCGGATCGTATTTAATGCACCAATAGCCCGATCGAAGAAATTTGATCAAGCCAGTGCGACATTCAGCCTTCTTCTTGGTTAAGGCGTCGGCTAGGTCATAGTCCGATGCAAGCCAGCGCAAAAGGCAAGCTGTGCGTGCCAAATTCCCTCTTAGCTGAAATGCCTGCAGGGCTGACCGCATATTGCTCAACCCTAAAAGCGGACTCTCATTGAGTTCTACTGCATCGTAGCCGCCCTTGCTGTCGGTGCATACGATCCCCTTCACGGTCATGACCTGCTGCTCGGTGCCGTCGACTAGATCTCGCCGTAGAGGTCCTGAATGGAGTTGGAAACCCGCACCATGTAGTTCACTCCACAGTAGCCTCGCCCTGAAGTTGTTGTCTTCTGCTTCGAGAACTGCTTGAACTTCGGCATCATTGCTACTGATAGACTTCCGCTTTAGCTTCCAGGTTCTCCACGCCAGGATATTCATGAGGCATGCTTGTCCAGACTCACATTCAGGCCCAGCCACAAGAGTCACTAAGCCACCAGTCGAGTCACCCTTTGGACGATTGTTGTGAGCTTGGTCACCCATACTCACGAAAACCAAATCAGACCAATGTCTCACAGTGGGAAACTTCTGAAACACCAGTTTAAAAGGTTCGCGACGTACTTCACACACCACTTCTTGAATCTCCCTTGCCGTCGCCAACGTACCTGTTGTCACCAAGTCTGTTAGCAAAAGATTGCAACGGGCACATATTTGAGGCTGAGACTGGATAGCAACCCACTGTAGCACGCCTAAGCTGGTCCGGCAGGCGTCTACCTCCTTGTAGGTCATGGTCCCATCTTGCCGTAGACGATCAGGATC